AAGGAACCAAAGAATAATTAAGAAACGAATCGAACAATTCAAGAATTCAGTACCCAGAATAATAACCCTAGAAGAACGGGAACTCAGAGAAATTGAATCTTGGATACAATCTAGGATCAGTAACCCGAACAATATAACCTGTTTAACCCTAACAATACTAAAGAGTAAACTAAACAATCAGGACCTATATGACCAATTGCCAGAAACAGATAAACCATTTGGAACCTGAACAAGAACTGGAATCAGAAAACTATAATATAACCTGTATCAAGAAATTGGAAACAACAACTATATCTTATACTGAAGAACGACAAGAAATTAAAAACAGTTTATTATATAAAGAATTCAATAAACCAAAAAAGAATAAAGATCTTGAAGACTTTGACAAGTATTTGATTGTCTTAGAAGCAATAACACTTGCAGAACAAAAACCAGAAGACTTTGAACATAGATACTGGTTGAACAATCTAATACAAAAACAATTGCGAAGCGGATTGGAATTAACACCGTACTATAACTTAAGAAATTTTAAAGCAATTCGGTTAACCACAGAGAAAACTGAAGATGTCAAAAGAGAAATAAACCAAAAACTCCAGGAAATAAAACAAAAATATTATCCAGAACAATTGGAGAAGTTATACCAATTAAACCAGCGAAGAAGCTATTATTAAATGATCAAGGCAGAAATAACTAAAAGTAAACTTGGAATATTAATTGACAAAGTAATTAAAAAACTAAAAGAAGACCAAAATTTAATTAATGAAGAAAAGAAAGAAAAAATATTAATAGAAATAAAGAACGAAGAGTCGGAAGAACCAATATTCAAAGAAGAACAGAAAAGAATAATAAGATATTTGAGTGGAATACCATTTAAAGAACAAAACAAGGTTAAAAACTATCATCAGAAAATTGATACTATAAGTTGGTTAAGAAAACAACTCTACAAGGATGCACTACATCATTGTATTAACTGCAACACCGGTTGGAGATACGGTGAATATAATTCACACAACTGTGATTACGATAACAAACCAGGGAAAGAACTTAGAAATTTTTATAAAATAACAGTTCAAGAAATTGAAAAATTAGTAGAAGAAAGACCCTTTATTATCACACCCAACAGAACAGAAAAATTATTAGAAAAAATAAACCAGCAAGCTTTTAAACTAACAAAGTTAGACCCAACGTATACCGAAGAAAGAAAAAGGATTATTGAAGAAATAACTGAACTAACAATAACAAAACTTATAACCCTAAAAAACGAAATTGAAGAAAAACTAAAATGAACCCAAACGAATCAAACGGATGGACTCAGCGAGGACCAAACTACTGTAAATGGTGCGACGAGCATGTTGAAGAACCTGAAAAACATAACTGTAAAATCATAAAAGACCAAGAATTCCAGGAAATCTTGAAAGAAGAGTTCGATAAACCAATCATCGAGAGAATATCAAAAGCATTTGTCGAGTATGCTAAAGAAGGATTCGACAAGGAACGGGAAGAAATTCTGAAAAGACAAAGTACACAGGAATTCACGTGTGGAATCTGTTACAAAAAAGGACACACAAATAGATATTGTCCAAATCATAAATGTTTCTCATGCAATAAAAAAGGCCATCAATCGAGAGATTGCCCAAACAAAATCAGATCAAACCAATTAGACAATAATCTGAAAAGATCTTACAGTGATCCGAGCAGCCAAAATTGGAGCAATGAACAAGGACCATCCTGAAGAGTATTCACTTGTAAATTTTGTGGAGAAAATCACAGAAATGAAAACTGCAAAGTGTACAAAATATTAAAAGAAAATTGAAGCTTATTGTGCGGATGCGACGCAGAGGAAATCCTATTAAAATGACAACAACACACAGAATGGGCTACATATTCAAAAAGCCGAGATCATCATCACTGTTGTAACTGCAACAAACCAACAGCATCCGTGAACCTATACCACATACAAGGACTCTACAAATCACCTAGAACTTTCGAACCAGTATTCTTGCCAGATCAGATGATGTGCAATGGATGCTATAGAGAATATCTTGAAGAACTCGATATTAGAGATGAGCGAGCACAGAAATACTA